CACGAGCCAAGTCATTAGCTTTAACGCTCAATTCACCCCTCAAGTCGCCAGCCTCCGCCTCTCTTCGCCCGAGTTCGGCAGTTAAGGTGGCCACCCGAGCTTGAAGGTCGGCGTTCTCGGCCGTTATCCCCTTGCTCACTTCAAGATCATCATCCTTGGCCTTAAGGGCCGCCTCAAGCTTGCTACATCGACCAATTGCCCTCATCAGCTCGTCGTCCCGCTCTTTCAGCTCCTCGACCTTCTGCGCCAACTCTTCCTCATCGCGAAACAGCTGAAAATTGCTATCTTGAGTGAAGACATCGTCCAATGCACGGTGCTTGGTGCGGTACTCTTTGTACTTAGAGGCCACTTTCCCAAAGACGGTCGTCCTCCATTCATCCCTCCGATCACGCTCAATCTCCATGATGAGAGTCTGATATGCAGAGGAAAGAAAGTCGACTTAAGTAGATTACGCATACAAAACAAATCCAAAAAAGAGGGAGAGTGAAAACACTTACCCGCAAAGCCATGTCGGAAATACTCTGCGATAATTCCGCATCACTCATCGCCTAAAGCGCCGTGTTTTCGGAAGCAGCACACAAAGGGGCAAATGCCGACACTGCCTGTTCGGAGTTCGCCAAAAGATCGTAATAAACAGGAATGATTACGTGTCGGTTAGGACCCTCCGTCCTCACTTCCACGCTGGTATTTCTCTCCAAGAAGGCCCGCACATCTTCAGGATCGATGTCTGAACCTGAACCATCGTCCTCAGCAGGCACCGCTCCACCCCCTCCGGCAGCAGACGACGCGCCACCTTCAGCAGATCGTACAGATCCCCCGCCTTGGCATGTCTCTTCGTCCCTAGGTGACCTACCCGCCAAAATGGCATCCGCCATGAAAACGGCCCCTGTGCCTGACCTGAGCGAAGACGCCACTCCCGAAGCAACGGTTTTCCTCTCTCCAATGCCAGTGGCGACGGCCTTCCCAAGCTCCACCCTCCTCCTCTTTCTTGACGGCGATTCATCTCCGTTGGAAGATTCATCTACGAGGTGGTAGATAGGACGGGAAGAGATCTCGTACCGTGCAACGACATCCCGAGGAGGGTCCTTATTGGCAAAGTCTGAGTATGACCTCTGCGGACGGACTCGGCTATAGTAAATTGCATCCCCGCTCATGCAATGGCTTGGCGAAATGCCGGGACTGGAGCCTTCTTTTTGGAAATCCGTCGGCCTGTCACTACAAAGGGATCGTATCAATAAGCAATAGCAAACAACTGAAGGTCGGAGTAAAGTTAATACTTACCAGACGGAACCTTCGATCCGAAGCGTTTGAAGAAAGCGGCCCAATCTCGAATCCCCACCGTGTAAGGTAGCACGCGAGCTACCCAATCCTCAATGCCGACGACGGGAAAAGGCGCACGCCTCTCAGCTGCACGGAAAAATCACGGATGAATAAAAAATAGAAAGAACGAAAGTAGATAACAAGCTTACGGCAACGACACCTACGGTTATGATTCCACTGCTCAGGAAATCTAGCAGGGTCCGACATAAAGTGCTCCGTTTTGATGAAAAAATACTTGTGCCAAAACTTTCGGCTCGCCCTGTCATCCGTTCCAACCACCAACCCTCTGGTCCCGCGATGCCGCAAATGTATCATGGTACCTCTATGAAAGCTCGGGGAAAATAAATGTAAAAGGTGGCGGATGTCAACCTCACACCCAGCCAACTCTGCATACTTCTTCAGCATCAGATTTTATACAAGTACGGAGATAGCTGTGCCGGACAGACTTCGTAAAACCGACAGATCTCCTCCGCCAGCGGAAGAAGAGGGAGGGTGTGACCAATCATGAAAGGGTACACATAAAAAGCATAATACCCAGGTCTGTAGACCTCTACGATGTCCCCCCCCCCCCCAGCTGGAAGCATCACGACGTGAGGAGGAATGTGGTATGTAGACTGGAGTTCGTCTATCTGAGATGGCCCAGTTTCAGAAATCACCGGAACGGGAGAAGGTGCAGGTTCCTTATGAAAATCTCCCCTGGACGAAGAGTTTCTGGGGAGTATCTCCTCCACGGTAGGGGAACTATCACCCTCCTCGGCCGCGATATCCTCACCGCTGGAAGGAGGGGCCGCTAACAACAGAGTGGCGTCGGAAACTTCATCGTGTGTACGAAAGGTTCGAGACATCTCGATAATAGAGGGTGTGCTAGTAAACCTGAAGGGAGAGACGATGACTAAACAGGAATATGGTAAGCAGAATCACAGAAATGGAGCTAAAAACTGAGGAAGATGATCAGAGGAGAATAATGTACACACAAGGAAGGAGTCAAATTTTTTGAGAAAAAACGAAAACCTCGCCTATTTATAGGGATGGGTGGCGCGAGAATCGAAGCAGAGGACTGTCAATGGCGCTAAAACCAAAGCGACAAGCACACAGACGCTGTCTCGGGAAGATGCATAATGATGACGCGCGTGGTGGTGACATCACATTTTGATAATCACACCAATCAGGGTTCCGCAAGCTGTGTCGTTCTCTCGATCTTAGTCAACCCGGCGTAATCTAATAGTCAAATTCTCCCACAACGGAAACGAATGATGCCCGCTTACCTAGGACGTGCGGGGCTACGACCTCGACAAGCGGAGGGACTAACTGTATAGGTCCAAATTTGATAACCACGATAACGGATAAGCAAAACATAGGACGGGATTGACCATGACACAAAGACTGACGGTCGTCCAAATGAAGGAGGACGACTAGAAGCAAGCAGTTGATATAGGATAGTAACGGTAACTTAAACTCGGAAATAGACAGGAAGAATATTCCTTTGGATATTCTTTATGTTGTACTTTTTAGGATTTTTTTGGGGAATGTCCCTTATAAATAGAAGGAGATGGGGATCGGCCCTTTTTGAGAATTGAGACATATTGTAAAGTTGAGAGAAGAATATACGAAAGGGTTGTCTTATTCTCTTTATTCAAGCACATGTTGATCAATCTTTATCCACAAATCTCAAGATCCCATAACTCAGTTGATTACTTACCTTTCCACGTCGTCAGAGAAAGGAAACACCCAATCACACAATCATTAGGTGACGATTCCTTTACATTATAACCCTTATCATTCTCGCATTTATTGTACATTTCTGATATTAAATGTCTTGCCAATCATAGCACATTAAATTCGCTGTTTTATGTTCCTAACCCCAATTCGTCATACAAGAACTTTGTTTTGTTTGGTCTAGGATTTATTAAGTTCAACTGAGATTCACCCTATTAATTTATTCTTGATTGGTTTAGTAATTATTTGCTAAAACAGTATTAGCAATACCAAGGCTATTAATGCATGCATTAGCATGGTTAAAGATAAAATTATCCTTAAAGTCCCTTAAAGCTAAAGAATATGGTGGGCATTTTTGTAAACAACTAACTTTCTTAAAAATAATGCAATGCATTTTAATTTTTAATACATCACATCAAACAGTGGATAAGAAATAATCTCCGCATAACTAATGCTTGCATTACTAACCCATGCATTACTAATCCATGCATTGCTAATACAGCTTATTCATCACCATTCTTATACACCGTACCAAACGATCCCTTACTCTTTCATGTATTATTTATATTAGACTACGAAGAAATAGATGAATAATACATTATTATACGAATTAGAGATATTACAAACACATGACTAACCTTATTGTTTCTATTTCATAACCTTCCAATTGTTTGACAAACTTATTGTTTTTTTGAAAAACAAATTTGTTTAAGCAATGTGTACATTACAATCACAAGTATATTTCACAAAAACTTATCTCGATTTTAGAATTGTCTCGTTTAATACAGACGATTATATCCATTCTAATGCAATTTTGTGAAATACATCGCGAGTTCGACTTTCATAGAAAGGAAATAAATAGATCTTTACTGTGAACAAATAATCCGGGTAAGCGATTTTGTATATATAATTGGCGGTTTTATATAACATTAGCGATTATATTCACCTCAAAGTTATCTTATTATTTTAATATTTAAAAATGTTTCTCAATTTTAAGATCATCTTTCTTATACTACTATGTATTATATCCATTCTTAAGCGTTTTGTGAAACACAACTTAAACGATGCAACTCTATAGTATGGGAATCAATAGAATTTTGTTGTTTATTTATTTAAGATATATTTAGGAGATTTCAAACATAACTGATAACACTAGCAATGTTAAAATTTAAACTTGGGTTGATCAATGCCCTCGTCAGCTTCGTCCTCAACACTTCAATTTCATCTGTTTACTATTTTTTCTTCTTCAAAGGCCTAAACATCGTGGAAAAAATTAAAATACCTGAAAAAATATAAATCTCCTTAATTAAAAAAAATTAAAAATAGTGCAACAACTGATATTATTGGGGATGGGAAAAAAAAAAGTAAAACTCATTATAAGATATTCACTTACATCAATTTCGTTGTCTTCTTTGTTATTGTTACAAGCGGTGTCACTTCCCTTTGTAACGACTAGCCCACTGCAACACAATCTAAATCCTCCAATTTTGTGATTATGCTACCATCAACTACTCAGTAAATACACTAAGAATATGTGTATAAACATATCAAACCTAAGGCCAAGCCTTGGAACCAAACATGTTCTACTTCCATGTCTTCTCCTCCGTTCAATATTAAGCTATTTATATTGAAATGTATTTCTTCACAAATAGCTTTCTTCGCACAATTAGTTGTACCCTAAAACTTGAGAATACAAGGTCAAGTGTTTTAATTTTGATAGTAGCTGAAAATTGCTTCCTCCAGGTCCACTTCACATCATGTTTTTAGACGCAGTGAACGTGCCCTTTAAGCAATGTAAAAGGGCAATGTAGGCTGAAAGATAATAAATTTAGCTCTCTACAGACTAGGCTCTAAGCATTTATGCACTTACTAAGATCACTTTCCTCTTAGCATTCCCCAAAATAAGTAATCAAACAAAGTAAATAACAACTAGAAGAGACAAGTACTAGACCAAACACCACCTGTTGAAACACCATGCACCAACCCAGGTTATACTTCTTGTTCTTAAATTAATTCACTTTGGCTTACTCCTTGGTTTGCACTAAAGGCAAAATTAAGTTAGAGATTATCAAACATCCAACATTCAGAAGTTGATATTCTGCAATTCAAGTCCAATAGCTTATAATACATCTACTAGCATCTAAAGTCCCATTCATGCTTTCCCCAAAGACAAGTTCATCCTTTGTTCTTTTTACAAGCCAAAAACCAGATCATTTACATGGATAACCCGGTCGACCCTCCATAGCAAAATAACCTGCATAAAGAAAAAACAAAATAAGTAGAATGTACAATAATAAGGTTGATGGAAAAGGGCGCAGCAAACTGGCAATGCAAATGAAAGTTTTTAGAACCACAAGTAGACTAAATATGCTACTTATAATAGAACAGAAAAAGTAAGACAAAACTAGATAAATAAAGGAAAGACAAACAAAAGGCTGCATATAGCCCCTTAAACTTAGTCATTTTTTTCATTTAGACACATAAACTAAGCCCATAACCTACTGAATACTTGAACCATGCTCAAATTATGTCAATTGAACCCTTACAAAACAACCTGACAAAAGACCAAGTGCGTACAGCTCAATCGCTGATGAAGTGGCACTCAACAAACAAATTAAAGACAGGCAAAGCAAAATTCTTCGTTTTCTTCAACAAACCCAGTCTTTCCTCTTTGATGATTTCAACATCCTCTCTTTCCACCATTCAAACCAGACCTGCAGACACAAAGCATTCGTCTTTCGTTTTTTCTACCTTCTTCTTTTGATTTTTATCTTCCTGACCTTCCTTAATCATGGATGCACCATACCTCCCCCTCCCCCAGTAAACCCATATTCATAAATCCATATTCATTGAATACAAAACCTCCACCTTCAGAATCACTCCACTGCACCACTCCTTCAACCCCATCGAAAACTAAAAGGCAAGCAATTCAAAAAATAACTCAAATTGATGCAACCTAGAAGGAGAAAGAATACGAAAAATAAAAATTAAGAAATTATGTATCTTCAGTCTCTCTTAAGTGGCATGGTACATGCAAGTGGCCACACCAGCAACTTGTGTCTAATATACACATTTTCAACTAGCATCGAGTGTTCAATAGGTATAAGCTTTAGTATAGGTGTCTAAGTGAAAGATTCGGACAAAGTTTAAGAGGCCGCGTATGTATTCAGCCGAAACAAAATATATTAACATAATAATATCAACAGGGCATGTATATTAAGCATTGTATAGTGACACATTCTGATGTTTCAAATAGTTTATCTTTAAAGTAAAAAGTTGAGACTATCATCTCAAATATTTGCAAGTAGAATCTGTGCATCATGCAGGACAGTTTTGAGTATAAAGACCTAAATGAGCAGGATATAAAATCAGCAAGTTTAAGTACAAATAGTTACTGTTCAAAGATGTCACCAGCCTCCCTGGCTGCCAGAACTGTTTCCTTTGCCCCAAGAACTGGTTACTTTACCCCACGCATCACTCGGTCCATCACTTGTTTCTTTTGATTTGTTCACATCCTCAGTATTGGATTTGTTTGCAGTCCAAGCTGTGGTCGCATTTCCTGAAGCAGCTCCCTGGTTCCAGCTTGTTCCCATGCCATTCTGATCCTCCTTTCCACTAACAGTTGTCTGCTGACCCCCTCCCTGGCTGCCAGAACTGTTTCCTTTGCCCCAAGAGCTGGTTGCTTTACCCCATGCATCACCCGGTCCATCACTTGTTTCTTTTGATTTGTTTGCAGTCCAAGCTGTGCTGGCATTTCCTGAAGCAGTTCCCTGGTTCCAACTTGTTCCCATGCCATTCTGATCCTCCTTTTCACTAAAAGTTGTCTGCTGACCCCACCCTAAAGATGTACCTCCCGTAGTAGCAGTAGAAGTTTTCCAACTATTTCCTGGAGTATTCCAACTGGTGGCACTAGTACCAGTTCCACTCCCATTCTTTTCGGAGTCGAATCCTTTCTTCCATCCACCATCATTAGCATTACCTCTACTATCAGCATTCTTCCAGCTCCCTCTGTCATTGTTACCTTGACTCCAACTGCCCTTGTTAGACTTCCATCCTTCAGCATCACTGCCTGACTCTTTGCTCCAACCATAGGGTTTATCTTCCTGCGAATCAGTTCTATTCTGCCATTCACCACTTTCATCCCTCCTTCCACGCCCTCTACCACGAAATCCTCCCCCATCCAATCCTCTACCTCTAAAACCTCCCCTGTCCCCTCTACCTCTAAAACCTCCCCTTCCTCCAAAGCCACCGCGATCTGAACCACCCCTACCTCCGTATCCACCTCTATCTGATCCACCACGGCCTCCCCTCCAACTACCACCTCTTCCCCGGTCACCATAAGAATCAGATTGCTGGTCGTTGCCACCAAAACCACTGCCAGAATTCCAGTTACTTTTGCTGCTCCAGGAATCTTGATTTCCAACGGCATCCTCCTTTCCGCCCTTCCACAAATTACTTTGACCCCATCCTGTAGATGAACCTCCATCTGAAGTTCTTTTACCACTCCATTGATTTTTCCCATTGGCATCTTGTTCGACTGCAGATTTGCTATTCCATGCAGAGGAGTTTCCTGCTGAATCTTTCTGAGTGATCTTGTTGTCCCAACCAGCTGACTCCTTGCTCCCAGATTCACCAGATTTTTTGTCCCAATCAGACTGGTTTCTACTAGAACCTCCTACCTCCTTTGAGACTGAATTCTTATTCCAACCAGAAGACCATCCTTCATTTGATGGTTTGGATGCATTCCAACCACCACCACTCTGGAAATCAGATGATTGATTACCAGCAATACTGGTGTCTTCATTATCGACTGCGGCTTTGCTATTCCAGGCAGAGGAGTTTCCTGCTGACTCTTTCTGAGTGATCTTATTGTCCCAACCAGCTGACTGCTTGCTCCCAGATTCACCAGATTTTTTGTCCCAATCAGACTGGTTTCCACTAGAACCTCCTACCTCCTTTGAGGCTGAATTCTTATTCCAACCAGAAGACCATCCTTCATTTGATGGTTTGGAGGCATTCCAACCACCACCACTCTGAAAATCAGATGATTGATTACCAGCAATACTGGTGTCATCGTTAACTTTTCCCCAACCATGTTCCTGCGAACTATTCCAACTAGACCGGTTCCCCTTAAATTCTACATTACTAGAATTATTGTTGCCTTCACCTTCAGTAGTCCAGCTACTAGACTGTCCTTGATTAAAAGATCTTCCTCTACCACTTTGATCTCGACCCCCTCGCCAACCACCTCGTCCTCTCCTGCCACCTGATCCACGACCTCCATCAAATTGTCTTGGCTTTCCCCAGCTCCCTTCTTGGTCTGTACCACCACCCCAGCTACTAGATCCATCATCTTGCTTTTTCCAGTCATTCTCTGCCTTAGCATCAGATTGCTTACTCCAAGATCCACCTTCACCTTCACTCTTCTTCGAAGAAAACCCAGCATCTTGCTGGCTCCACGAAACATTGCTATCTGGCTTTTTCCAGCCAGATCCATCATTTTTCTTTTTCCAGTCAGTCTCCGCAGTGGCATCAGATTGTTTAGTCCAAGAGGATCCACCTTCACCATCACTTTTCTTCCAAGAAGAACCAGCACCCTGCTGGCTCCACAAGGTTTTGCTATCCGTCTTATTTGATACACCATCTTGCTTTTTCCAGCCAGTCTCTGCATTTGCATCAGATTGCTTACCCCAAGAAGATACTCCCACTTGCGCACCCCAAGAGGATCCACCATCAGTTCCAGCATCCTGCTGGCTCCAAGAGGCCTTTCTATCTGTCTTGTTCGCTCCACCATCTTGCTTTTTCCAGTCAGTCTCTGGATTTGCATGCTTACTCCAAGAAGATCCAGCATCCTGCTTGCTCCATGAGGTTTTGCCCGAGTCATCATTTTTCTCTTGTTTTTGCACAGATCCCCAAGGATCATCCATAACCTTCTCGGTGCTCTCTTGATGTGATTCAACCTTTTTGCCCCAGCCGTCAGACACAGCACTAGTAGCGCCAGCAGTAGAAGTACCTTTCGCCCAACCATCAGGTTTTGTCCAGCCATCATCTTGCCCGGAGCCAGCAACAGCAGGAAAAGCAGGCCAAGAACTCCTGCACATAAATTTTACCTATATCAGGTCATATTGAGTACCAACGATTTTCAAAAACAATGGTAGGAAAAAAAACACCCATCTTTTCAGCGTCAAATGAAATCAAAAGAAGTGAAATCTGTAGCTCCTTATAAGCAACAATAAATCACAAAATTCACACCGCGGAAATGTCGAGTGGAAGTCTGAAGAGTAGTTGCATAATATGTAAAACAGCATGAATTAGAGCTTTTCTTAAGAAGCCAAATGGAGATAATGGAGCAGAAGATATAGTCTTAAGCACAAATCTCATACGATGTTGAAGGAGGCAGAATCAAGTTTGATACTAATATTGTGAGTTTGGATATCCAAGTAGTTGTCAGTTTCATCCTTTTGAAATTAGCGCCTTCACTCATGCTAGTGCCTCATATGCCTATTCTTTTTGTTACTCTTCTCTGTCTTCCCCTATTCCTTTTTAACCTCAACACCCCACCCCACCCCACCCCACCCCACCCCACCCCCTCCCAAAAAAAAAGCAAAAAATCCTGCAACCTATCAAGCTTTTCATAACCTGTCCTGTGTATATTTCAAAAGTACGTGAGCTGATAAATATGAGTTTTTAAAACTTTTAAGATGATAGAGAAAATATCATCTCCTTGTTTCATTGATGCTAAGTATGGGCAACATAATCACTGGTGTACAAAGAAAATAAACACTCCTTATGGCGTTGGCCTATGGAAGAATATCAGCAAGCACTGGGATGAGTTCTTTCAAAACATAACCTTTTAGGTTGGGAAAGGAGATCATGTTAAATACTGGAAAGACAAGTGGCATGTACTCCCTCAAGACTATTTCCTTAATTAATCTATTTAGCTGGATTTATCTTTACCCTGTAACTAGTGAAGATCACCTTGTGGATTTCATTAGCTCCCTGTTCTTAGCATAGATTTCTGTACCGGCGCTAGTTATCTACCTTTTGCATCTTCTTGATGCCTATTAATGAATCACCCTTACTTCATCAAAAAAAAAGGGAAATTCATAGGAAAGAACTAGTGAAGATTTGAATTTATTTATTTTTTTGACAAGGATTTACTAGTGAAGATTTGAATTAAAAACTTCATGACAATACTTTTAGCATAACAAGAAAAATAAGCGGCAAATAATCCCTTCAATAACACACATGATTTTAGCTTCTTTCTTTTTACAAGTATGGAACGCAGATGCACACATTTCAATCTTAGAGATGAAATAACAGATGCATGAATCAACATCTAGAGAAGCAAGAAATGGATATACCATTCTACATAGATACTACTTAGAGACGTATGGACAGGAAAACAAAAAGTAAATACTAGTAGCAACTTCGAACCTTCCAGGAAAAGAAAGCAGTAAATATTAGCAACGATTTTAAAGTGTTGAACTAGATCTTTTCTTGATAACTCTTTTACTATACCAAGAAAATAAGTAGACAACTTAACACTTTCTAAAAGATAGGCATTATTTTGGCTCCTTTTTTTTGTTTTAACTTTTTAAGTATGGAAAGCAGATGCAAGCATCCCCATCTTTAGACACTTTGCCATACAGTGATTAACAGGTACATGAATCAACTTTTAAAAAAAGCAAGAAATAGAAATACCTTTCTACATAGATACTATTTCAAGATGTAAGAACAGGAAAACGAACAATAATATTAGCAATGATTTTTAACCTTTCAGCAGAGGATGATGCTCCTGCATTCTCGGCGTTACCCTCAGTTTCTGTGGCCCCCTGAACCATCCAATCTGCCAAAAAGATAAAAGAAGTAGAACGATAAGTCACAACCTTAAACCTTGATAAATTTGTTAGTTAGGCTGAATCTCATCAACTGCACTACTCGACACTAATCAATTAATTGTACTGTGGATAGCAGTGTTTTGTATAGCGAGAGGCGACAAAAAGCGACGAGCGCCCGCTTCAATGAGGCGAGAGGCGAGAAGTGAAGCGCTCGCCTTTTTGAAGTGAATCGCCAATTAATGCAAAAAAAATAAAATATTAAATTTGCATATATAAATAACCAAAAACTCAAATTTGCATATAATTAAATATGCAATTAATTATATACTAAAACTGGAAAAATGCAGGTAAAACAAAAAAAACTGAGCAATAAAAGGTGGAAATCAATTGAGCAAAAAAGTCCAGAAACAACCAAAAATCAGTTGCAAAAAGTCGGAAATCAGCTGCTGCCGGAAAAAGAGAAGAAAGAAAGAAGAAAGAAGAAAGAAGAAAAATAACAAGAAAAAAAAACAGAAGAAAAGAGCAGTTCGCTGCCGGAGATGCTGCCGGAAAATTGAGACAGCCGGAAAAAGAAAAGAAAAGAGAAGAAAGAAGAAGAAAACTGGTCGAAGAAGAGAGGAGGAGAAGGAGAACACTACCTGGTGTTGCTGTGTTTGTGGTGAAGAGGAAACCAAACCCTAACTTGCTTTTGCTGTGCGAATAGAAGAAGAAACTCCGTTTTAAATTTCTTTTTTTTTCAGAAAGCGTCGCAATAGGTTGCCTCTTGCCTCTCAGCGCTTCTCGCCTTTCAGGGAGAAGCGCGCACCTTTTCTAAAACGCAACGCAACAGACAAAAATAGCGACCCAGCCTCGCTTCGCTTCGCCACTCGCTATTAGCGACGTAGCGCTCGCTATTTACAACACTGGTGGATAGTACTGCCTTTTAAAGAAAGAGTAATTCCAACGAAGTGAAGAACGAAAAAGGATAAAAGTACAGACTCTATACTTATGAAAGGAGAAGTATGGATCTACAGAAAATTTGACATTAAATAACAAGAGAGACAACCAATACAAAACGAAAACTAAAACGCAAAAATACATATTAAAAACAACAAAAGAAGGCTCTGCAATCAGATACATCCATGTATAAGGGTAAGTTCCACAGCAGTAAGTAATAAATTTCACATAGGGAAACAGGTTATAATTGACAGACATGCTCACGGAGTGGGCTTGTGGAAGCGCATTTGAAACATCTGAGATGATTATTAAAAACAAACAGACACTTCACAATGGGTAATGGCATGAAGATAAAAATTTGGCAGAAGATATCCCCCAATATAATTTGGCAGTAAATACTAAAGCAACAGCGGCACAACATCACAAGGAGTATGGGAATTATCTTTTAGGAGAAACTGTGAAGATTGGGAATAGGGAAAGTCACCAATCTGCTAGGAAAATAGAAGGGGCCAGAATATGTCTAGAGGAAGAAGATGCAGTGAAATGAGTAATGAGAATATCAAGGATCGAAATACACCGTCAAGTCTGGATATAGAAATTTGTGCAACAGGCAGAATACTGTTATGCAGTGGCCTTGGTAAATAATCTGGAAGAGCAAAGCATCAGTTAAGGTGGGCAATTTTTGTTGGATAACTGCACATGAGCATGTTTGACAAAATCAAAATTACAAAGGACCAGAATGGTGTTGTGCAGCAGAAGCTCCACGTGTGAGAAAATGAGGAAGAAGTGAATCACCTCTTTATACACTGCCATGCGGCCAGAAAGTTGTGGTGCATGTTTCTCAGCTTATACAATCAAAAGAGGGCAATGCCAAAGACAGTCGAGGAACTACTATGTTGCAGAAATGGAAGAAGATTGCACAAGAGAAGTGGAAGACATAAATGACCATCCCTGCATGCATTTTGGACCAGTTGGGTGGAAGGGAAAGATGCTTTGAAGGCTTAGTTAACTGTATACATAAACTTAGAAACTCATGATTATATCTTTTCGCTTTTGGTGAAAGATGGCAGATGTATGATGTCAACTCTTTACTTGAATTCCTCAGTCACTAGAGCTTTTGTTTTGTATGTAGCTGCACCTATTTTGTGTTGTTACTCTGGAATAAAATTACTTTTACTCATCCAAGAGAAGGAGCAAAATACTTCCTACCTTGAGAACCATCCTGTGTTCCAAGCAGGTCAAAAGGTTTTGCAGAATCACCATCGACCCTATTGTTGAAAGTAAAGAGAAAATTAAAAGAAACCAAAGTGAAAAAAAAGTAATTGAACGATTCTCCTTCAATTTTTCAGGTAAAGAAATTGTACCCAAGAGACGTGACAGAACTCTTTCCATGAACTTCCGCCAGGTGTTCAGATTTAACTACAATGACAGATTGTTTAGTGACAATTTCCCATATAGCATTAAAAGACGATGCAAGGATATGTACAAACCTGTAAGAATTTTTTGCCGGGAATCAAGCTTTACTGTAACATCAGAACGTCGAATGGCTACTACACGACAAAGATATCCCTTCAAAGGCCCCACTCGGATTCTTAGAGTCTGACCAACAGTAAATATTCCATCTTTATCATCGCGCTTGACTGTTTGAGGAAAAAGAACCAGAAGCTAAAGGAATAAATATTTGAATCGGGAGCGGTGCCTTGATTCGAGACATCAAATAGAAAGAGGAGAATTAAGAGCAGACTAATAAAAAACATACAGCTGCAGTTATCATCCTTCGCTCTCCAAGATTTCTCAGGCGAAAGAGGGGATTTAGGGGATGATGAGAAATCTGCAAAACCTGAGGGACCAGGCTCACTACCCTGATAAAATAGAATAAGCACAAAAATATTAGCGGAACAACTATGGGTATCATAAGAATACGATTAGTTCTAATATGCCCCAAAATGTACAAACCTTCTCATTTGATACACCATCATTGCCTGTAATTTTTTCACACATCTGACCTTTGACACAGAGATAACCACTATTATCCTGCTCACTTTGGTCATATAGAAAGACGACTCCTTTATAGATCTGCTTAACAATTCCTTGTCTATCCTGCATTTATTAAACCCTACATTACATCATTTCAGAAGACTAATTAACAAATAAAAAGATGTTACTGCTTCCATGAATAACAGTCAAATGTTCCAAGGGGTGACCTAGTGGTCAAACAGCTGGAGTAAAAACCTTGGGAACCAAGGTTTCAAATGCCAGCAGAAGCACTAGTGAATTATTCATATCTACCTAACCTTTGGTGGGCAGTGGAAGGAAATAGCTAGTCATCGGTGGATTAGTCAAGGTATGTACAAGCTGACTCGGATACTATCATGATCAAACAAAGAAAAAATAAAAGATGAATAACGGCCAAACCTTCAAGGGACCATCCAAAACTCTAACCATATCACCAACTGAGATGGTATTGGTTAGCTGATCTTTCACGGTGAATAGCTTCCTATCAAAAGATGCACGCTTCAACTCACGCAGTTGAATGCTCACTACCACAGGTCTCTCTGAACCATCTTTCATGATCTGAAAAATAATCGCTTTAAATAAGACATCATTCACCCAAAGAAAAATAAAGCCAATAGACTTGCATATACCTTAAAGCTATCATCTTTCTCCTTGCCAATAATAATGCCAAAATCATTCCTACTGTAATAGCATAGAAAAATGATCACACAAAAAATGGCAGAATACAGGGTGCAGATTCCACATTGGTAAACAGTAAGAGACAAACCTACCCAAAAAATACAAGATCATCTACTTCAAAATTGTTTTCAATGCTAGAGCTTGAAGAACCCTCTCCTTTCTCACCTCCTTTCTGACCAACCTTGAAATCATTTATGATTCTCTTTTTCTTCCGGTCACCGTATAGCTGGGTAAGCCACTCTACATCCTGGGGTCCATCACTTTTAGAAGGTTCAAACTTCAGGAGTTCAGCTTCAGTAGGCATTACACCCCAATAGCTCAATGAATCAGTGCCCACTTTTTTGTATAAATAACCATCCTTCAGCATCTTTCCGTCTAGAATTTCAAACATTAGGTTTGTATCCCGATCCTTCCGGTATTGTATGAGGGGCCGAAAGTCTCTGCAGTTTAATTAAGGAAAAATTGTCACGTACTTGCAACCTATTATATTAATCGTAACAAATGGAGAATGCATATTACTCAAGCTCTGTAGAGCTAATTAGTCTTGGTGCTGCGATAACTCCCTTCTTTGCAGCAACTCCTCCACCCTATAAAACATTTTAAAAACTCAGCTATCTGAGCAAGTTGAAAGTAAAAAATGACTAGGTATGGAAACATCAACATGCGAATAGTCATGTAATGAATGTACGCATCACTAGAAGTCTATAAATACTTAATTATAGAGTTGTTTTAGGATCAACTTACACCGTGACTAAACATTAGGAATTGGAGCCCCCCCCCCCCTCCAAAAATAGAAAATATAAACCGTGAAGATGGAATTATAACAATTCCCTGAATGATGGTGATACCAACCCTATAATATCCCTGCATTTTCGCATTCACTCGTTAACCATTCTAAGATAAGAGGTTGAACTCTTGCAAAGAGGAAATCTATAGCCTCTGAAAAAATGTATTTTAAGAAGACTAGTCATAATTATAATTGTATTGAGGATGATAAGCAGCAATTTTTTTAATCAGCGAAGATGATAACCGACATTACTGCAGCGGACTGCAGAAGATATATAAGCCTAAATTAAATGAAAATATATTAATGAGATGTTAAACATGGATTGCTAAGTGCATAATTAGCTAAATACTTCAAGTGCTTAGTCAATATCAAGCAGAAGTCCCAATAGAGCATAGGAGCAAACATTCAAAACAAAGAGAAGAGGAAGTACATTGCTTCAGTCTAAGATTGTAATACTATACAAACAACTAAAAGGACCTACGACGTGCAGTGCAGGAAATACTCAAATCACAACCTCCAATAAGTACGAATGCACAGGGCGTTCAGATTGGCTTTTAAGCTGATCAAATCAGCTTTTAAGCTCTTTTTAGCTTTTAATCAAATCAGCAAAGCTATAAAGTGCTTAAAATAAGTTTAAAACTGCTTTAAAATAGCCAAAAGCAATAAGCTGCGCAACCCCAACTTTTTGCTTTTTGGCTTAAAAGCTATTTATGCTGAAAAGCCACTTTTTTTAAGCCAACCCAAACAGGCTCTAACAACTCCAAACAAATGTGCATTACTTTTAAGGAACTTGAGGTTAAAATAACCCAAAGCGCAATTACACAGAAATCATGACCTGCATTGTCCCTCCCTCCCTCCCTAACACAGCTTTTTGTTCTTTCTTTTTTTCATGATGGGGAGGTGAAGAAGCAGGGAGTACGGTGTTATGCTTCATATCTTCATATTTACAGAGTAATTCACATTAACTAAAACATAAAACATTTATGAAATCGGGTATAAATTGTTACAAATTTGTCGGCAATGGCTTGTAAGTCTATTCTTGGAATCAGCTTCACCGTCACTTTCTTCCGTGAATCATTCACTGCCACAACCTACATGACCATAATGAAACAGTTAGCAAGCTCTAAAAAGAAGGTGCTTTGTTATTGTTGTTTAATTTCTCAGACAAATAAAGAGAGGTCAGTAAGCAGCATTAACCAGCAGAAAATTCATATTGCATTTACATGTATGATAAGAGAGATTTAAATAGCAGCTAGCTGATGGAATAAGAAGTACCTGCGCCAGATCGCCCTTGTATATTCCACTTTTGACACGTGCCCACATACCCTCAGAAATCCCAGAAGACTTGCTCCGCACAGCAATCAAATGAGAAACTTCATTCTTTGGAACAGGTGCCACTCTACTTGAATATATACTACAAAGGCCTTTACACGCCTATACCAAGGAGCTCGGCTTAGAGAGTGTAAAATGCCATTAAAGAATGCTTTCATCAAGAAAAGAATGTCACTAACGAATGCTCAGACTTCCACTGAAGCACCAAGGCCAATTCAAGACACAAGAATGTCATGATAAAATAAAATAAAAAAAGTAGTAGTACCTCGTAGACATCAGATTGTTTGTCAGCCTCAATATAAATATATCCCTTTACATGATCAAGTGAAAAAGCGGAAATTATCTGCAGCTTTGTTCCTAGAGCAAGCAAGTCTATGTACTTCTGCATAAGACAGAAGGTTGAGTGCCTTTCTCTTCCAACCTATAGCACAAAGCAAATACAAAAAGAAAACATAAGCCATATAACTAGAAAGACAGTGAAAGAGAATTAAATGACAACAATCTGATATATATGCATCAATGACTTTTCAATTTGCCATCAATTAGAGTACCGTGCATTTAACTTTCCATATAGTTGGATCCTTGAGAGAAGGCACAAGTGTGTCCTGCTCAAATAGTCTCTTCTTCTCATCACTATCATCTGCATAAGTAACAAAGCTAGAACCTGGTCTATAACGCTCCCTTAACATCTTCTCCAGCTCTTCTCCATCCAATTCCTCCTCTTTGATCACTGGGGGTTGGGGTGTTCTCACAGGTTCATTCTTGATTTCAACATTACTTCTAAATTCCTCAAGAAAATCTGTATAGCAGGAGCACAACAATGATTAGATAAACCAAATTCAAAATAACTCTGGCATAGTGTACCTACCAAAAAAATAACCAACACACCTGAGCTAATTTTATTTTCTATTTATAAGGATTAAACTGCTTGTAGTTGGTTTTCTTTTGATAAGATAAACTTCTTGTAGTTTGTTTAAATAGAAGGTTGGCTTATAATTCCTTCTTTTGCAACTTTAGGCAATGCTGTTATTGTGATACCAAAATTCAAGTAAATGTTTCTGCAGGGCAGGTCTAAAGATCAAATTAGCAAGAAGAATGGAATATTTGGACTTTTGTCCTTAGAAAAGTTGTATTCTTCGCTTCAGTTGTTTACCAGTTATGAGGTTCTGCAGCTGAAAGTTGGGACAGTGATCCAACTTCCAGTTTTTCTTTTGACGGTTTTTGTACAAATAGTCACTTGGTACAAAAAGATTCAAGTAAATGTTATTTATTTCTTTTTGATCAAGTAGAGTTGAAGTGGACATGCTTTTGCGGAGCTAATGATAAAAAGTAAAAAGTAGTGGCAGCACAGACCTTTGTACATATCTAAATGGACAATGAGTTTAGAGAGGCGACAAACAACAAGCACGTACACGGAGAAAATTGCAAAAAATAAAGCTAGCAGCAAGCTATTCTCACGAGAAAATGCATTTAAAGAGGTTCAGAATTTCTCTTAGAATGGAAGGGTGAAAACAATATGAACGTAGAAGTATGAAGCTCAAAATAACAAAGAATAATGTATTAATTGTTCTTAGCCTGGAGAATTATGGTACTGAGGAGCTGTTATTTAAAACACAATCCTATTCCCCTACTATACATGTAATATTTACAGAAGAGTTCAATCAAAGGAAATCAGCTAATCCACCATGCCTTAGACCAAGCATTTTGAAGGAATGTAAGAAATATGTAGATTCGTCAAAGCGTAGTTTTACCCGGTATGTCGCATACCATCTATCTACCAGAAACTGAGAAACATAAAATGAATCACAATCAAAAACACAAATTAAAATGGAAAACAAAACCAGAATCAAAGTAGACTATGGTCTTGCCTAACTTCAGTTTTTAAAACCCAAATTTACAATAGACAAGTGAATCCCATCAAAACAAATAACTTCCTAAGTTTGGATAATGAAATCCTACATATGTTTTTTTCTTTCTTTGTTCACTTGCTTCTTCTTCTTCTTCTTCTTCCTCTTTTTTTAATTGGTAAAGGTATTCTATTGAGGTGCAGTAAAGTTTGTTCACTTGCCATTACGTAAACAAAACCAAAAAGTTTTAAACAAAAAAACTCCTACACTAAGCCAATTGGAAAAACCAAAGAAAAATAACCAAGGACTACTACGCCTCAGACCCAAACAAGTTGGAGTCGAATATATGAATTCTCATTATAGCTGTCAGCCTACCAAAACCCTCCTCCTTTATTCCGGGCTCGGGACCGCCAATGCGAGCAAGCTCACACAGGCGGAACAGAAAATATTAACCAACATAGCTGCAATTTCAGAACCATTTTTTAGCTTTGAAAACCTCAGTTCTTTAAAAAAGTTTATATAAACCTCAAACATGCAGAGCAAAGAAATAAAAGAACAAATCTCCAAAAAATGCATACCGGCATAGGCTATACACAAACAAATTGACCAAAAATCCCTAATTCCAACTCATTTTTCTAAACAAAAGGAAAATAAAGTAAATGCTGTATATTTATTAACAAAACTCAAACATGCAAATAAGTAATCATAAATCTATGACAATGCAGGCCAGTATAGCTTATTAAACAAACCGATTTTACCCAAAAAAAATGCCTAATTTCTCAGTCAATTTCCTAAATTTAAAGTTTAAAAACATGCAATTAAGCATTCAAAAAATATACGATAATGCAGTACAGTATAGCTTATTAAGCAACCCGATTATACCAAAAATCCCTAATTTTCTCAGTAGCTTTCAGCTAAAACAAAATAAAAAAGAAATTAAGTCAGTGACAGCTGTAACGCATTATACCTTCGTCGAAGAAATCGGAGTCGTCGCTGAAATCGAAGTCGTCGTCGTCGTCGTCGTCGTCGACCTCGTAAGCAGCGTCGTCAACGAACTGAAGTACACCCTTCCTTTTCCGGTCACCGGTTTTATCCTCATCGTAACCGTCGCGCTTTCTTTTTCCGGCCGACGAGGCTTTGCCGTCGATGACTTTATCTTTACCCTTCGGTAAGGACGATTTTCTACCCATCTCTTTTTGATTCTACAGCAGCAATCAACAGAGTGTGTGAGAAGTGTGAGTGGTGAAATGGCTTTTTATTTTCAGTACTTCCTAGTACGCTATTAGATGTAAGCCACGTGTGTACGATAATAATTGAACGGTGTCGATTCGATTTATTTTAGTATTCATTTAATTGTGTTTTCATTTTTCATTATTTTACACAAAAAATAATACGAAGTTGCAGAATCTTTATTAATTCAAATATGGTTCGTAAACTAACACTCTGTTTGGATTATTGTTATCCATTGTTTTAAATGTATTGTATCATTTTATGAATACAACATTTTGATAGATTGTATTTGTTTGTTGTTGTTTGGTTTGATTGTATCCTACTGTATTGTAACTCATAAGTTTATTAAAATACCCTTAATTATTTTAAACATTAGATTTATCAAGAATTACGCGTAAAAATAATTTAAGAAAATGCATTTCTACTAAAATAAAAGATCAACTATCATTAGGGGGAAAAAAGAACGATGATAGAGAAACGAATGAAGACTGTGTAGTTGGCAGAACAAAAGAATGAAGATAAATAAGTAACACTTTGCACATTTGAAAACAACCAATAGTATACAACTAATTAGAGATTAAAGTAATTATAATTGGAGTTAAAATCAAAGTAGGAGAAAAACGAAATAAAAAGAAGGCAAAACCTATTGGTTTGGAAGCAGCATAAGGAAAAAAGGGACGAAGACAAAGTAGGTTAAAGGTTGGAGATTTAGAGTTTAAAAAAAGGTGAACGGTAAAATATAATGCTACAGTAATAAGTTCGGGCATAATTAGAAAAAAATAGGAAACAATCCCACCACACCAAATCGGTTATTTCAAAAACTGGGACTTTTCATTATTTCAGAACAATGTATTTAACAATACAATATAACCAATTTTAACTAAACAATCAAAACAAACATTATTTCGTTATAACAATACAACACCATATAATGGGTAACAACTATCCAAATAAGCTGTAATTTCAAAAGCGTACCCAGGATTTAAAGGTGGTGGAGAACACATGAGCAAATTGCTAACCAATGCTCCATCTCGCTTTTGATCTCAAGAGTTTCAAGCAAAAATATATGATCGTTTTCAATATTTATATACTTATATATTTAGAATTTTAGCCGAAATTAACGGGTTTAATGACCTCTCTTCTGCAAGCATAGATCCATCTCTGGTTAATTTCATGATACACATATGCCCTGGGAAAGGATCTCCCATTCATTAAGATTTATGTTTATTTACCCTCAAAATCAGATAACAATTAAATTTGTAAGTGATTTTAAGGATACGTGGATTCATTCAAGACAAACGACAAAGATTTCTAGAATAAACAGATAAAAGATATAATAAATTATCAAACCGCTTGAAAAATAAGGGGGAAGGATGATTCTGGACTCAAGGGCAGCCTCAATGAGGTATTCGTCTTCGATCCTGGGCTTAAAATAATGAAACACTGATCGATAACGCAAGAACTTTGAATGGCAGGAAAATAATAGTACTCCTATAATGTTTTGATATGCGTGTTACAATGTTCCTTATGAATAATCAGACTCCCCTTTATATAGTAGGGGAATTTTACACTAAGTACATTTCTATAAAAGGTAAGAAATCTTCTGTTTAACTAATCATCGGTTCTTTATTGATGCGTGCCGAGATCTGCGCCGTGATATCTGGCCGGTCGCGGATATCACGACCAAACTTCTACCTTCGTGCCTTCAAGATTCCATTACCCTTTTTTTATACTCTAGTAATCTTTACCTTCGTTACTCAAGGTTCTTCAGTAAATTGCAAGCTTTCACTCTTCTCTATCCAAGCCAACACATCTGAACTTTCAACTTTCTATCTTTTTCAAGCTTTTTCAGACAACAATGGCCAAAACCTCCAAATTTGTTCCCCAAAGGGGCGCTTCTACTTCCCGACCGACTGCCGAAATCAATGAGACCATTCCCGATATAGTCGACCTCGAGGGGTTCGCTGCTGACATGGCTACCAATGAACTGTCGTTGAACCTCCCTTGAAGATGTTCATTCCCGGGGTTGTTCGGTCACTGACGACTTCAAGGTTGAGAATCCTTCTATGGTGTAGGGTCAGCGTGAGGAGACCTCGAGATATATTTGCTCAATCACCAAAGAGCACCTCCCCACGGTCCGAAATGACTGCAACTGGGCCAACAAGGACATAGTGGTCCCCGACTCCGAGGAGGCCATTACCACCCATGTTGAGGGATATCTGAGTGTTTACACTTATCCCTTTACATTGGGCCCGATGGAACCGGTCACTTTAGATTTTTGCATGAGGTATAACGTATGCCTCGGCCAAATTTACCCGTCACGGTAGAGGATCGTGATCCTCCTCCGATTCTTTGTGAACAAAATTGATTCGTGCATGTTCACCATCGATCATCTACTTTGCTTGTACGTTCCCCGAATCTTCCGGAGGGGACCGATAAAGCCCCATTTTCAAGCATTGACGAGGACCGGTATCGAGGTTGGCAAGGATGTTTTGTCCGGGTGAGGACCGCCGACCTGATACCTGCCGAGTGGAGGTCATTCCCTGAGAAGTGGAACGTATCACGTAAGTATAACTCTTTTTAAACGTCAATTTTATGTTTTATCTTCCCTTTTCTCATCGGTGTTTGTTGTGGTGCAGCCTTTGCTCGAGTCCCAAACGCCATTCCTCGGCTCAAGGAGTGGATCGAGGGTATTGTGTCACATATGCCCTACTCCGAACGCTCGTGGGTCAAACTCTCGAAGGGTCGTTGGGAGGCCCGTTCCCATGGTAAGTTTTCTTTCTTGAGCAAGTACGTTGTATTGGGTTTATTCTTCTAGCATTGCATTATTATTTCTTTTATTTTATTTTCACTGGTTTGCCTAAGACCGTCGAGCTTAGGCCTCCGGTCGGGGGCGAGGACTTGCCCGTTGACCCCTCTGCTTCTGGGCAGCTAGGGGTTGCAGCAGGAGAGCAGAAGAAGAAAAGAAAGGCTCTGGGTTCCCCGAGCTCAGAGAAGAAAAGACCAAAGAGAAGATTGACTCGTAAGCCAAAGGAGAGCTCCAACTCTCAAGCACCAGATTCGGACTTACTCTACAAGCTTAGGGATGAGTCCGAGGAGGAAGAGCCTTTAGCGACCCACGATCCATCGCCCCCCGAATAGCAGGGGACCGTTGAACAGAAGACCCATGATGCCGATCTCCCTCAGGTTAGGGAGGTTGATGAGGAGGCCAGAGCCGAGACTCCCCGGGAGGCTGGCAGTGCCCCGAAGGAGGTACTCGGTGTGATAGATATTACCGGGTCGCCTTTATATACCGAGTCCATATTTGACGAGGTCCGAATGGTGAAAGAGCGACCCAATAAAGGGGCTCACAGAGCAGACAAACCCCTCCGCTGCTTTTTTTATTGCATGGACTCAACCGCCCTAGAGGGCGTTACCGAGTTGGATAAATTAGAGGTGTCGAGGAAAAGTTCATCCTCGAAGGTTGGTGGGTCGAACTCGATCCCGAGGCTGACTAACCGGTTCCCCGTCCCGAGCACGGATCATGGTCGGAAGCGATCAGTTGTTATCACCGTTCCGGAGGATGCCCGGGTTCTTTCCTCCCCTATCGGTATAACTAGTTATCTCCGGTGCCTGGTAACTGAAGAAAACCAGGAAAAAATGAACGAGGTGTTATCACACTCTTTTATATTCGGATTCAGTTTTTGAGGATGTTACATCTGGCATTTTGGTACGTTAAAGTTTCGTCTTCAGTTAATGCGACGTAGACTTGGAGATGAGATTATCTTGAGGTTATACGCATTTATGCTATTTATAACAAGCGATAAGTAAGTGCCGTGAAGGATAAAGGGTAAACGAATCAAAGAAAATGAGTTTCATTGAAGGTTGTCGATTTGGGATAAAATACAGTCCGAGCTATAATACCCGGTATTTATGGACTAGTGTCATACAAGGTACTACATGACCATGATAGTAAGGTGTATAAGGTATGTTAAAAGTGAGTAGTATTTTAAGTAAGTGGAGATAATTCTTAATTATGTGGGTAATTGGTTAATTATTGGATAATGAGATATTTCCTAGTTAATTAAGGAGTTGTGAGTGATTAATTAAAGAATGTGGTTGAGATAAAGCATCTCCACGTGGCAGCAAACCAATCCAAGAATTGTGACTCATAAGTCACTATGTTATGTGGCAAGTCTTAAGAATGTGAGTCATTTCCATTTAATAAAGGAAAGACGCATCTAACGTGAGTCATATCCATTCTTAAGAAACATAAGTCACAAATCCATTCTTATATGCATTCAAACGTAAATGTTTGTATGTTACAAACATAAGTCACAAACGTAAGTCACATAAACAAGATAAAATCTTCAACAATTCAAAGCAACGTGAGATCTTGCAATTATAAGGGAGTACGGTGCAATCTTTCTCAAGAATATCATACGGAATTTTCCTACTCCGGACTTGCTGTCACGTGTTTTGTCGCGATTGTCGTGTGTTAGAGGAATTGTACGGAGAATCGGCTCAGGTATGTTAAGGCTATCCCTTCTTTCTTTTGGCATGATCTATACGACACAAACGAAACGAGCAAATGCACAACTTCCATAAATGACTCTATTTGTAGAAATGCTAGAGATGCGTAGATTCTTGTTTTCTCATAAGTCTTATTATTCTATCGTTTGTTCACGGGTCTTAGAAAATACGTAAGTTGATAAAGTGTCACGACCCAAACTGGAGGGCCATGACTAGCACCCGGCCATACTTACCGAGTACCAACATACATTTTACCTAACCTTCATATATACATATACATTCGGAATACAGTGGGGCGAGCCGGCAAGGTGACGATTAAGAATAAGTACCCGCTCCCGAGGATTGATGATTTATTTGATCAGTTGCAAGGTGCCAAGTGTTTCTCAAATATAGACTTGAGGTTCGGGTACCATCAGGTAAGGGTTAAGGAGAAATATATTCCGAAGACAACATTTAGGACCAAATAGGGGCACTTTGAGT